CCCCCTTTCCGTCTACTTTGGAATCTTTTGATTCTTTTGTCCTCAACAACGAGTGGCCGTCTTTGACTTTTTCGATTGTACAAACATGTATATCTATCTGTACATTAGCCGAACCTGCTATAACGACCATCTGTACAAGTGACTACCCCCTCTCCTTCCATCCCCTATCCTTTGCATTCTTAAAATACACCATGTCTAAGACAACCACCTTCTCTTCAACATTGGGAGGTCGTCTTAGGCAGTTTGGGTTTATTTGAACTGTGAGTATACAGTGTGTGTTACTGAGCGGGCGATGGGAACTGCGATCGTGACTTAGGGACAGGAGTGAAGGGTACGAAGGTGTGTGAGAATGAGAGAAAGAAAGAATGTGTGTGTGTCAAAGAGAGAGAGATAGATAGTCTGACAGAGATAGAGAGAGATAGTCTGATAGAGATAGAGAGAGACGGACGGACAGACAGACAGACAGACAGACAGACAGACAAGACAAGACACGACAGACAGACAGACAGACAGACAGACAGACAGACAGACAGACAGACAGACAGACAGACAGACTGACAGACTGGCAGACTGACAGAGGGGGTGGGGTATGAGGTATGGATATGTGTATTTAATTGAGTGTGTATCTGGGTGGCATGATTGTCGTGTAAGTGCGTTTATTTATGGGGAGAGAGAGGGAGGGAGAGAGAGAGGGGGAGAAAGAAAGATAAAGAGTGAGAGAGAGAAAAATAAAGATAGAGTGAAAAATGGAGATAGCGTAGTATGTGTGCAAATACGTGCGCCCCAGAGCTGCTCCCGGTGACAACACGGGGTCGGCCAAAGCGATGTCGCAACACCCTTACACCGACATCATCATCACGACAACACCACCACTATCGCCGCCCTCAGCACAACAGGCATTGATGTTTCCAGTCTATTGATCGCACCCCCCACCCCCCACCCCCCATTGCATCCCAAGAGTATATAAAAGAAAAAAAAAACATTTATGTATTTCATCATATCTTCACGAAGGACAAGCGAGACGGAAGTCTCTCTCTCTCTTTCTCTCTC